ATTCGGGTCTCCTGAATAGGAATCCGGGTTCAGAATTAACTACTTAAATTTCTTTTAACTTTTTTTAATCGCATTTTTGTCACCTTTCTGTTGCTCTTTTGTCACTTTTTTATAGTTTTTGTCGCTTTTTGTTTTTTTGTTGTTGTCTTCTGTGATTTCCTTTTCCTGTTGCCTTTTTTGTCGTTTTTCTTCTCTTTATTAAAAAATTGATAATATCACTGATTACAAAATTTCATGTATTCGTTGTTTGAAGTTCAACAATTCAAACAACCTTATTTTAACTCGTATAGAAGTTATTACGACAAAAATAAAAATAGCAAAGTTAAATTTCGTAATTTATCCTTGAAACTGGATTAAAGTCTTTCTGGAGTGAAGGAAGTTCTGCCTGTATAACTTTTTTAGATCAATTTTTCCACTTTATCTGATTTTTAAAAATTTTGACTTTCAATATTTCACAAATCTTGCTCATTTTTTAATCAGCACTTCGAGATCTACATCGCAGATTTTTTTATGGATTTTTGGGCCAACTTTATCAAAAGCTTTTTTTTTCTTTTTTTACCTTATGAAATTGAGCTTTTTTCGACCATATTCGGAAATCACCTAAAGAGATTTTGATGTAAATTTCGACATCCAGAAATTATTTTCGGCTTAATTTTTTCGAAAATTCCTACCATTTTTCAAAAACGCACAAAGAAATTTGGGAATTTTTCGGGTCTTCAACAATCTTAATGTTCAAATCGAATATTACGAAAATGTTGTCCCGGGGCCATGAATACATTGTACGTTACGAATCAGCATGTCGAGATCTATAGACTAGAATTTTTTATGGATTTTTGGCGACTATAAAAAGCCAATTTTTCAATATTTCCCAGTTATGAAATTTTTTACCCTTTTCAACCACCTTCAGAAATTACCCAAAAAAAAATGTATTTAGATTAAGACCTCCAAAAGTTATTTTCGGCTTTATTTCTTCCAAAATTCCAACCACTTTTCCAAAATTGCCTAAAAAAATTAGGAAATTTTTAGAATTAAAAAAATATTGATGTTCAAGTCCAATATTTAGAAAATCTTGTTCCGGAACGTTAAACACGCTAAATTGTTCGAATCGGTACATCGAGATCTATATCCCAGATTTTTTTGTGGATTTTTAAACAACGTTTTCCAAATTTTTCAGTACTTTACCCTTTGTAAAAAATTTTCGACCTTTTTCCAATGACTTACAAAATTAGGATTTTTTCTAGATTTCGACCTCCGGAAGTTATTTTCGCCTTTATTTTTCCGAAAAATTCGTGCAATTTTTTCAGAATTGTTAAATAAAGTTTGGCAATTTGTAGGATTTTTTAAAACCAGTTATTCAAATGGAATATTACGACAATATTTTCCGCAGCCATAAAAACGCTGTCGGCACATCGAATTTTTTCCAGCTTAATTTATTCTAAAATTCCTATCATTTTTGCAAAACCGCCTAAACAAATAAGGTAACTGTTAGAATTTTAAAAATTCCAATGTTCAGATCGAATATTTCAAAAATCTTACTACCGATCCTTCAACACGTTTTATTTTTCGAATTCTTATATGGAGATTTACACTTCTGAATTTTTTTCAGGACTTCTCCCTCATGCAATTTTTGGCCTTTTTTCACTTTCGAAAAATTCCTAAAAAAATTTTTTTGTAGGTTTCTACTTCCAAAAGTTAATTTCGACTTTATTTCTTCGTATATTCTAACCATTATTCTAAAATCGCTCAAAGAAATTTGGAAATTTTTAGAATTTTAAAAAATTTTGATGTTCAAGTCGAATATTTGGAAAATCCTGTTCCAGGACCTCGAACAGACTAAATATTTCGAAGCGGTTTTCAAAATTTTTCACTACTGTTCTCTGTAGTTTTAGATTTCCAAAAGTTATTTTCGGCTTTATTTGTTCGAAAATTCCAACCACTTACTTTTCCAAAATCGCCTAAAGAAATTTGGAAATTTAAAAATCTTGTTCCGGATTCTTAAATACGCTAAATTTTTCGAATCGGTACATCGAAATCTTTATCCCAGATTTTTTGTGGATTTAAAGACAATTTTTTCAAAATTTTTCAGTTCTTCTCCCTTATGAAGTTTTCGACCTTTCTTCAATCATTTTCGAAAATTACCTAAAGAGATTTTTTCTAGATTTCAACCTCCAGAAGTTTTCGCTTTATTTCTTCGGAAATTCCTGCCATTTTGCGAGAATAGCCAAAATCAAAAACGGCAATTTTTGGAATATTTAAAAAATCGAATATAAGTCTCAATTTTTCCAAAATCTGGCTCTATTGCGACCAGCAGGGTATATTTTTCGGTTCAGCTCGTCCACACATATAGCCTAGAAATTTTAGTGGACTTGTAGGTAACTTCACCGAAAGCTCAGTTGTTCAAAAATTTGAAATTTTCGACAATTTCTTGAGGGATTGCGAAATTATTTAAAAAGTTTCTTTGGTTGAAATTGACCTCCAGGAGTATTTTTCGGCTTCATTTCTTGGAACAATCCTACGATTTCCCAGACTCGCCAAAATTATATGCAATAACTGAGATATTTTCAAAAATTGATTGAAAGTGAATATTTTGAAAATCTTGATCCGAGACCATCAACAGGTTATGATTTTTGATTCAATTTGTGTATATCCCAGAATTTTTTATGAATTTTTAACCAAATTCGCCAAAAACTGAATTTTTCAATATATGAAATGTATAAAATTTTTGACAATTTCCTGAGCACATTCGAAAATTGTTTTAAGAGTTTCTTTTTTTGATTTCGATATTCGGAAGTATTTTTCGGCGTAATTTTTTTGAAAATTTCTACCATTTTTCTAGAATCGCCAGAATGAAAGGCGGCAATTTTTGGGATATTTTAAGTATTCGAATTTGAAACTCAATTTTTCAAAAATCTTGCCATACACAGGGTAGGTTTTTCGATTTTGCTGGTCTATTTTCCAGAATTTTTAACCAACTTCGCCAAAAGGTCAATTTTTCAATACATGAAATGAATATAATTTTTGTTTTTTTTTGGGCATCTTTGAAGATTATTTAAAGAGTATTCTTGATCTCGATATTCTGAAGTCTTTTGGCGTCATTTTTTTGAAAATTCTCACCATTTTTCTAGAATCGCCAAAATGAAAAGCGGCAATTTTTGGAATATTTTAAGTATTCAAATTTGAAACTCAATTTTTCAAAAATCTTGGTCTGGAGCTATCTTTTCGATTCTGCTTGTCTACATTCCAGAATTTTTAACCAAATTCGCCAAAAGTTTGATTTTTCAAAACATTAAATGCATATAATTTTTTGAATTTTTTGAGCACCTTCGAAAATTATTTAAAAAGTTTCTATTGTTCATTTCGATATTATGAATAGTTTTTCGGCTTCATTTGTTTGAAAATTCCTATCATTTTTCTAGAATGGCCAAAATGAATAACGGTAATTTTTGAAATATTTTAAAAATTTTAATTTGAAACTCAGTTTTTCGAACATTTTTTAAAGATTTTCTTTAGTTGATACTGACTTCCGGGAATGTTTTTCGGCTTCATTTTTTCGAACATTTTTACCATATTCCCAGAATCGCCAAAATGACACTGTAGATACTGGAACATTTTGACAATTTGACTGAAAGTGAATATTTCGAAAATCTTGTTCTTTGTTTTAACTCATCCCACATTTGTTTGTGGACTTTTAAGCCAATTTTTGGGATATTTTAAAGATCCGAATTTGAAATTCTGTTTTTCCAAAATCTCGGTTTAGCACCATCAACAAGCTATGTTTTTCGATTCAGCGTGTTCAAAATGGGCATAAACATTATTAGTATTCTTTTGTGGGGGTAACACGAAATCTAACCAACGATAATTTTGACTTTTAAAAATGAAAATGAATCTTTGTTGAACATGTAATGTTTATTCTTTTAGTTTAATTTCACTTTTTCAATCATAAATTTTTGTGACTACGCCACCTTTACTTTTATTTACAAAGAACTTTTCTCAAGAGCATAAATTGTAAACATCCTTGTTGGGAAACACGTCAAGTCTGGCCTGAATGGGTACCGCCTGTAGCGTGGTATTTACAAAATCTCCTTTAACACCACTGGTGTTACATACATACAATATTTTACTTTGAGGGTATTGTGAGCATAAAATCTTCTGGTTAAAATTCAAAAAAATGTTAATTGTAGCAAGCCATTAAAAATAATTGGATCTAGATTTCCAACAAGAGTCCCAAAATCGGGGTGTGTCTGCTTATCTCCGGTGTGTAAATACGGTTTGACAAGAAAACATCCTTAGTCCAGCCCTTTCATAATAAGTGTAGTGTTACTTTTTATGCAAGAACTTGTCTAGGAGGCGAAGTACATTTCTAGACCACATGGCGTCCTGTAACAATTGTCGGTAATAAGCGTAATTGATGGGTGCTTAGGGCGTGCATTTGAAGATTGTAACAATGCTACTGTTACACTAAATACAAGGGTTGAAGATGTGTGCTACTTTAATAATCATACTAATTTGAAGTATTTGTGTTGGCTATATTTATTGCTCTTTTTGTATCACCTCTGACGTGGCGCCATAAACATCAACTCAAGGGTGCATTTAATCGTAATCAGGGAATTTTACGAATATGTACGACACCAAATTTTGTAGCTGAGTCCGCCAAAATTTTCATAAAAATCGCACCTCCCCAGTAACAGCCGTTCCGAGCTCCTGATGCGGAACTTGGGGTTCCTTCCAGATCTGCTCCAAATTTCTTTATCCGCATTGTCCCTTGCACAATTTTATCCGGCTTTCAACACAAAACTGGCAGTGCGTTATGGCAAATCAATATAAAAACACCTGGTCTTGGTTTCTTACGTAACAGTCCGTCTTTCATACCAGTCTGCAGTTCGTATTGTGCTCGGCACACAAAAGGATGTTTGTATCAGGGTGAAAATTCCGCCCTGAGTGCGCCAGGAGTTCGGAGGCGCGCCTCGACGCCGTAGTGACATTTCATCGTGAGAGAGTGGATGCAAGCGAGGAGAAGGAGCCCAGAAGGTCTTTGTCTGCAGCATGCGGAGGACCGAGAACCGGGTAGTCGGACGGCTGAAGAGAGAAACGAGCACGCGCCGTTGCATTTCCGTATGGACCTACATATCATTATCTCACGACGGAAATTTTGCTCGGGCCTATTGTCTGCTTTGAAGTTATTATCATTGAATTATTTTACACGGAATTACGGTTGTACCAAAGCGGGAAAGGACGTCGCCAAAGTACGAAGACAGATACAGAAATTTGAAGTTGATGGCATGGATTGAGGAAACACATTTTGGTGTTTCACGCCTTGTAACGTTCTGTACCTGGATAGGACAGTTTAAGGATTCCCATCAATCTTATAAGAAATTTCTTTACAAAATCTTGTTTTTACTTTTGTAAGGACAAGGCTTCACATTTTCGAAGAAAATTTCTAATTTTCGAAAGATTGAGCTTTCGTCGAAGTTATCTATTAATTCACAAAAAAATCTGGGTATATATGTATCTTGAGAAACTAAAACTTGGGTCCCTGATGTTTCTAGATTAAAATTTTCGAAATGTTGTGTTTTAGAGTCAAATTGTTAAGTTATCACAAAAATTACAATGTCTCATTTTTACGATTCTAGAAATATGGTAGGAATTTTCAAAGTAGTCAAGCTGAAAAGCACTTCACAAGGTCGAAATCATTAAAAGAAACGATAAACAATTAATTTTTGGGAGTGCTTAGGAAAATGTAAAAAAATTTGTATATTACGTTTATCGAAAAATTGAGCTTTTTCGAGATTGCATCAACATTCACAAAAAAAATCGAAGATATAGAAAAGCTGATTCGAAAAACTTGTTTTTTTAAGATCTCAAACCAAGATTTTTTAAATATTCAGTTTCACTAAAATTTTGGAAATCTTCGACAAAATGACCTTGCTATTTTGGCGTTTCTGGGAAAATTGTAAGAATTTTGGAAGAAATGAAGCCGAAAAACAATCAGCACTCACGAAAATCGATATAAACAGAAGGGACTTTTTAAATAATTTTCGAAAGTGCTCAGAAAATGATCGAACATTTCTAGTTTTCGAAAAATTGAACTTTCGTCGAAGTTATCTATTAATTCACAAAAAAATCTGGGTATATATGTATCTTGAGAAACTAAAACATAGGTCCCTGATGTTTCTAGATTAAAATTTTCGAAATGTTGTGTTTTAGAGTCAAATTTTTAAGTTATCACAAAAATTACTACGTTTCATTTTCAGGATGCTAGAAAGATGGTAGGAATTTTCAAAGAAGTCAAGCCGAAAAGCACTTCATAAGGCCGAAATCATTAAATGAAACGAATTAAATAATTTTTGGGAGTGCTTAAGAAAATGACAAAAATTTTGTACATTGCGTTTATCGAGAAATTGAGCTTTTTCGAGATTGCATCAACATTCACAAAAAAAATCGAAAACATAGAAAAGCTGATTCGAAAAACTTGTTTTTTAAAAATCTCAAACCAAGATTTTTGAAATATTCAGTTTTACTAAAATTTTGGAAATCTTTGACAAAATGACATTGTTATTTTGGCGTTTCTGGGAAAATGGTAAAAATTTTCGAAGAAATGAAGCCGAAAAACACTCAGCACTCACGAAAATCGGTATAAACAGAAGGGACTTTATAAATAATTTTCGAAATTGCTCAGAAAATGGTCGAAAATTTCTAGTTTTCGAAAAATTGAGCTTTCGTCGAAGTTATCTATTAATTCACAAAACTATCTGGGTATATATGTATCTTGAGAAACTGAATCATAGGTTCCTGATGTTTCTAGATTAAAATTTTCGAAATGTTGTGTTTTAGAGTCAAATTTTTAAGTTATCACAAAAATTACCATGTCTCATTTTTACGATTCTAGAAATATGGTAGGAGTTTTCAAAGTGGTCAAGCCGAAAAGCACTTCACAAAGTCGAAATCATTAAAAGAAACGAATTAAACAATTTTTGGGAGTGCTTAGGCAAATGACAAAAATTTTGTACATTACGTTTATCGAAAAATTGAGCTTTTTCGAGATTGCATCAACATTCACAAAAAAAATCGAAGATATAGAAAAGCTGATTCGAAAAACTTGTTTTTTAAAGATCTCAAACCAAGATTTTTTAAATATTCAGTTTCACTAAAATTTTTTAAATCTTCGACAAAATAATCTTGTTATTTTGGCGTTTCTGGGAAAATGGTAAGAACTTTCGAAGAAATGAAGCCGAAAAACACTCAGCACTCAGGAAAATCGATATGAACAGACGGGACTTTTTAAATAATTTTCGAAATTGCTCAGAAAATGGTCGAAAATTTCTAGTTTTGGAAAAATTGAGCTTTCGTCGAAGTTATCTATTAATTCACAAAACAAAATGGGTATATATCTATCTTGAGAAAGTAAAACATAGGTTCCTGATGTTTCTAGATTAAAATTTTCGAAATGTTGTGTTTTAGAGTCAAATTTTTAAGTTATCACAAAAATTGGTGTCTCATTTTTACGATTCTAGAAATATAGTAGGAATTTTCAAAGCAGTCAAGCTGAAAAGATCTTCACAAGGTCGAAATCATTAAAAGAAACGAATTAAACAATTTTTGGGAGTGCTTAGGAAAATGACAAAAATTTTGCACATTACGTTTATCGAAAAATTGAGCTTTTTCGAGAATGAATCAACATTCACAAAAAAAATCGAAGATATAGAAAAGCTGATTCGAAAAACTTGTTTTTTAAAGATCTCAAACCAAGATTTTTTAAATATTCAGTTTCACTAAAATTTTTTAAATCTTCGACAAAATAATCTTGTTATTTTGGCGTTTCTGGGAAAATGGTAAGAACTTTCGAAGAAATGAAGCCGAAAAACACTCAGCACTCAGGAAAATCGATATGAACAGACGGGACTTTTTAAATAATTTTCGAAATTGCTCAGAAAATGGTCGAAAATTTCTAGTTTTGGAAAAATTGAGCTTTCGTCGAAGTTATCTATTAATTCACAAAACAAAATGGGTATATATCTATCTTGAGAAAGTAAAACATAGGTTCCTGATGTTTCTAGATTAAAATTTTCGAAATGTGGTGTTTTAGAGTCAAATTTTTAAGTTATCACAAAAATTACAATGTCTCATTTTCACGATTCTAGAAATATGGTAGGAATTTTCAAAGTCGTCAAGCTGAAAAGCACTTCACAAGGTCGAAATCATTAAAAGAAACGGATTAAACAATTTTTGGGAGTGCTTAGGAAAATATCAAAAATTTTGTACATTACGTTTATCGAGAAATTGAGCTTTTTCGAGATTGCATCAACATTCACAAAAAAAATCGAAGATATTGAAAAGCTGATTCGAAAAACTTGTTTTTTAAAGATCTCAAACCAAGATTTTTGAAATATTCAGTTTCACTAAAATTTTGGAAATCTTCGACAAAATGACCTTGTTATTTTGGCGTTTCTGGGAAAATGGTAAGAACTTTCGAAGAAATGAAGCCGAAAAACACTCAGCACTCACGAAAATCGATATAAACAGAAGGGACTTTTTAAATAATTTTCGAAATTGCTCAGGAAATGGTCGAAAAGTTCATGTTCTCCAAAAATTGAGCTTTCGTCGAAGTTATCTATTAATTCACAAAAAAATCTGGGTATATATGTATCTTGGGAAACTAAAACATAGGTTCTTGATGTTTCTAGATTAAAATTTGTGAAATGTTGTGTTTTAGAGTCAAATTTTTAAGTTATCACAAAAATTACTGTGTTTCATTTTCACGATTCTAGAAATATGGTAGGAATTTTCAAAGTAGTCAAGCCGAAAAGCACTTCACAAGGTCGAAATCATTAAAAAAAAAACGATTTAATCAATTTTTGGGAGTGTTTAGGAAAATGACAAAAATTTTGTACATTACGTTTATCGAAAAATTGAGCTTTCTCGAGATTGCATCAACATTCACAAAAAAAATCGAAGATATAGAAAAGCTGATTCGAAAAACTTGTTTTTTAAAGATCTCAAACCAAGATTTTTGAAATATTCAGTTTCACTAAAATTTTGGAAATCTTCGACAAAATAACCTTGCTATTTTGGGGTTTCTGGGAAAATGGTAAGAACTTTCGAAGAAATGAAGCCGAAAAAGACTCAGCACTCACGAAAATCGATATAAACAGAAGGGACTTTTTAAATAATTTCGAAATTGCTCAGGAAATGGTCGAAAATTTCAAGTTCTCGAAAAATTGAGCTTTCGTCGAAGTTATCTATTAATTCACAAAAAAATCTGGGTATATATGTATCTTGAGAAACTAAAACATAGGTTCCTGATGTTTCTAGATTAAAATTTTCGAAATGTTGTGTTTTAGAGTCAAATTTTTAAGTTATCACAAAAATTACAATGTCTCATTTTTACGATTCTAGAAATATGGTAGGAATTTTCAAAGTAATCATGCTGAAAAGCACTTCACAAGGTCGAAATCATTAAAAGAAACGAATTAAACAATTTTTGGGAGTGCTTAGGAAAATGACAAAAATTTTGTACATTACGTGGATCGAAAAATTGAGCTTTTTCGAGATTGCATCAACATTCACAAAAAAAATCGAAGATATAGAAAAGCTGATTCGAAAAACTTGTTTTTTAAAGATCTCAAACCAAGATTTTTGAAATATTCAGTTTCACTAAAATTTTGGAAATCTTCGACAAAATGAACTTGTTATTTTGGCGTTTCTGGGAAAATGGTAAGAACTTTCGAAGAAATGAAGCCAAAAAACACTCAGCACCCACGAAAATCGATATAAACAGAAGGGACTTATTAAATAATTTTCGAAATTGGTCAAGAAATGGTCGAACATTTTAAGTTCTCGAAAAATTGAGCTTTTGTCGAAGTTACGAAAAATCCAACAAAAAAAAACGGTATATTGTCTCCACAAATTGGATCATAAAACATAACCACCTGGGTGTTTCAGAAGAAGATTTTCGAAATACTGGGTTTTAAAGTAAAATTTCTAAAATTATCTTAAAAATTATCGTTTTTCATTTTGACGATTTTAAAAAAATGGTAGAAATTTCGAATGATGTGACTCCGAAAAGTACTTCAGAGGATAGAAATCAACAACAAAACTCTTTAATTTTTGGGAATGTTAAGGAAAATGTCAAGAATTAAGTACATTTATTCAAAATTGAGGTTGAAGATGCCTAAAAATTCACAAAAAAATATAAGATATACAAAAACTGAATCGAAAAACAACCTTTTAATGGTCGCAGATCAAGGTTTTCTAAATTTTCAGTTTCAGTAAAATTTTGAAAACCCGATAAAATTACTAGATGTCATTTAGGAGTTTCTGGAAAAATAGTAGGAATTTTCGGACAAATGAAGCCGAAAAATACGTACGAAAGTCGATATGAACAGAAGAAATTATTTAAATAATTTTTAGAAATAATCGTAAATAGTTGAAAATTTCATGTTCTCGAAAAACTGGAGCTTTTAGTTAAGTTATCTAGAGCTCCATAAAAAAATTCTGGGACATAAATATATCTCGACAAACTTACTGGATCCTAAAACGTCGCCTCCTAATAATTCCACACCAAGGTTTTCGTAATATGGGTTTAAAAGTCAAATTTTTTAATTGTCCCAAAAATGACCTTATTTTGTTTTTACGATTCTAGAAAAATGTTAGGAATTTTCAAAGAAGCGAAGCCGATGAAAATCAAAATCGACAGAAATAATTAAATAATTTTTGTAAATGCTCAGGGAAACAAAAAATTTCGTACATTTCATTTGTTGAGAAATTGAGCTTTCAACGAAATTACTTAAAAATCACAAAAAAATTGGGATATATTTTTAAATTATCACTAAAGTTAACGTATTTCATTTAGATGATTCTAGGAAGATTGGTAGGAATTTTCAAAGAAGCAAATCCGAAAAGCTCTTCAGAAAGTCGAAGTCAACAAAAGAAACTCTTTCACTAATTTTCCAAAGTTGTCAGGAAAATGTCAAAAATTTCATGCATTTCATATATTGAAAACTTGACCTTTGGCAAAGTTACCTAAAAATCTATAAAAAATTTTGGGATATATATCTCGGCCAGCTGAATCAAAAAATATAACCTATTAATGGCTCCAGATCAAATATCTAAAAATTGTGTTTCAAATTCTAATTTTTAAGATTTCCCAAAAATTACCGTTTTTCGTTTTGATGAATTTTCAAAGAAGTGAAGCTTAAAAGTACTTCAGAATGTGGAAATCAACAAAAGAAATTTTTAATCATTTTAGGAAATTCTCAGGAAAATCTCGAAAATTACATTTCTGGAAAAATGGAGCTTTTTTCGTAGTTGCAAACAAAATTCATAAAAAAGCTGAGATCGGACCAAGATTTTAGAGATATGTATTCAGATTCACCAAAATTTTTAAAATATCCGAAAGAATACCGTAAATCAATTTAGCGTTTCTGGGAAAATGGAAGAAATTTTCAAAGAAATGAAGCCAAAAAACACTCACGGAAGTCGATATGAAATACTCCTACTTTAAATAATTTTCGAAAACTTCAAGTACTGGAAAAATTGAGCTTTTGGCTAAGTTACCTAAAAACCCAAAAAGAAAGTCTGGGGTATGTATCTCGACAAACTGGATCGTAAAACGTAGCCTCCTAATGGTTCTGGACTAAGATTTTCGAAATAATCAGTTTCTGTAAAAATTAAAAAAAAAAAATTAAAAAAATTACCATGTCATTTTGGCGTTTCGATATCAACCAAAGAAATTCCTTAAATGTTCGGGAAATGTCGAAAACTACAAGTTTTTAATAAATTGAGCTTCTGGGATATATATCTCAACAAACTGAATCAAAAAACGTGCTCTGTAATAGCCCCAGGCTAAGATTTTCGAAAAATTGAGTTTCAAATTCGAATTTTTAAAATATCCCAAAAGTTGCAGTATTTCATTTTGGAAATTCTAGAAAAACGGTAAAAATAAAAAAAAAATGAAGCTGGAAAACACTGAAATATCGAAATCAACACAGGAAGCTCTTTAAATATCCAATTTTCGAAGGTGCCCATGAAAATGTCAAAAATTTCATAGATTTCATGTAACGAAAAATTGAGCTTTTGGTGAAGTAGATTAAGAATTCATATAAAATTCTGGATAGATAAACGGAATCGAAAAAATAACCTGCTGATGATCTCCGAGCAAAATTTTGGAAATATTCAAATTAAGTCAATTTTTGGAAATATTTCAGTTATTACCACAGGCCATTTTGGCGATTCTGGGAAAACTGTAGAAATTTTCGAAGAAACGAAGCCGAAAACACTCCTGGTGGATATAAACAGAAGAAATTTTTTAAATAAATTTTCGAAATTACCTAAAATCTAGAAAAAATCTGGGATATATATATCGAGAAATTGAATCGTAAAACAAGCCTCCAGATGGTTCCGGATTTTTGAAATATTGGGTTCTGATTTAAGATTTTTAAATTATTACAAAAATTACGGTATTTCTTCAAAATTTCAAATTTCCGAAAAATTGAGCTTTTGGCGAAAAAAATCTGAGATCTCGAAAAACTGGATCCTAAAACCTTACCTTTTGGTAGTTCTAGACTAAGATTTTCGAAATATATATTGGGTTTTAAAGTCCCATTTTTAAATTATCCCAAAAATCACCGTTTTTCATTTTGACGATTCTAGAAAAATGGGAGGAATTTTAATGAAGCCGAAAAGCACTTCAGAAGGTACAAATAAAAGAAACTCTTCAAATAATATTTTTGAAAATACTAAGAAAAATGTCAAAAATCTTGGACATTACATTTATTGAAAAATGAGCTTTTTTCGAAGTTGCATAAAAAATCACAAAAAATCTAAGATATAGGCACAAAAGTTGAATCGAAAAACATAGACGATTTTATGGTCTCGGATCAAGATTTTCGAAATATTGAGTTTCAGTAAAATTTTGAAAATATCTGAAAACATTATCATATGTTATTTCGGCGTTTCAGGGAAAATAGTAGAAATTTTTGAAGAAATGACGCCAAAGGACCCTCCCATAGGTTAATATCAACCAAAGACACATTTTAAATAATTTTCGAATATGGTCGGGAAATTGTAGAAAATTTCACTTTTGAAAAGTGAGCTTTTCGGCGAAGCTACATATAAATCCACAAAAAATTCTGTGATATATTTATATCTTGACAAGCTGAATTGAAAAATATAGACTGTTGATGCCTCCAGACCAAGATTTTCGAAAAATTGAGTTTAAAATTTTTCTTCTTTTGGTTTTTCAATTTTTGATTTTTTTTAATTTCTCGATTTTTCAATTTTTGATATTTTTACTTTGAAACTTCAAGCTTGTGGTTTTCCGATTTGCAATTTTTCGATGTTCATCTTGAATTATTCGAATTTTTAATTTTCATTTCTTAACTTCTTCACTTCTTCGATTTCTTAATTTCAAAGTACATTTTTAAATGTTTTAATTTTTCGCTGCTTCAATATCACAATTTTTTGATTTCCCGATATTTAGATTTTTAAATTTTTAATGTTTCAGTTTCTCGCTTGTTCAATTTTTAGTTTAAAATTTTTCGAGTTTACGAGTTTAAAATTTTCAGTTTCTAGATATTTTAAGTTTTCGATTTTTCATTTTTTCGAATTTTAATTGAAGCTGAAAAGTACTTCAGAAGATCGAAATCAACAAATGAAACTTTTTAAACAATTTTCGAAAGTGCTAAGGAAAATGTCAAAAATTTCTCATACTTATTTAAAAAAAGCTTTTGGTGAAGTTACTTAAAAATTCATACGAAATTTATTCCATCATTAAATATCCACTGGGTGTCCAAAAATTTTACGAAAAAATTATTTTAAATCTAAAAAATCAGAAAAAAAAGAAAACAAAACCCTCTACTCTATCTTCGCGCCATTTTCTCCCCCACCCAACCACATCAACCAACCCCCAATCATCCGTTACATCGTCCCACCTCCAACCTCCCGCGACAGGTTTCGTCAACCTGTCGCCCGGACCTCCTCAGCACTCGGGTCCGCGTTTCGGTTGTCTCCAAGAGCAAAAATCGCGGGATCCGGGTGCATCCTGCCACTTCCACAAGGTCAGCTCTTGCATCGGTGGTGGGGAGTCGGGTCTTAAGCTGCGGCCTGTGCAACGCAGGGGGTGACAAGGGTCCAGACAACACGAGGTCCGACCAGGTACGTACCCCAGGTAAACGCAACGGCGCGCCAGACACTTGCCGGATGGGTTCGCGCTAACTTCGGCTCCGGTCTTGATGCCATTACGCTGCCATTTAAATGGAATAACGCGGGAGAAATGCTTTCGGCGAGATTTTGTGCTGCTGTGTTGTGTGTTTGTGGAAATTGGAAGTGTTTTTGGTAAGTGGAGAGGTGGCGGTTTTGGGGGTTGGGGGTTGGCGGCGGGATTGGGGGTTGGAGGTGTTGTGGGGACGGGTAGGAGATAACCTATATGTCAGAATACGGGTTCGTTTTTGAGGGAAAATTTTTAATGTTTATCGTTACGTTATGTATTTTTTTGTTTGTTTGTTTATTTATTTTGTTACATATTTTATAAATAGTAGGTACGTTGTTGCTAATAATAATTAATAATGATGTTGCTACTAGTCAAATGTAGAGTGTGTTGGATTTTCCGTTTATCATTATTTTTTTTTTTTTTGTGTGTGTGTTAAGTGTCTGCTTAATTAGCATTACCTACTTCAAACAGGAATTTACCTGTTGGCCTTCAAACTTCATTAGTTTAAATTCAAACGATGGTTAGTCCGAATCATCTGTCCTAATTTACACTTCTTCAGTCGTTTGGTTACACTTAGCACTTAATAGTCAAAATACACACTGACTGTCAAAATTTAAATTTATTAATTGCTTCTGGAGTGTTATATATATTTTGTGTCAGTGATATATCCAGCTTTTTCGAACTTTTGATGATGATCTTCCGTTTATTATTATCGACTTTATTTATTTTTACGTTTACGGCAGCTTGAATTAACGTAAAGAGCTTTTAGGACATTATTTTATTCATGAACTAAGATATTTCTTCAGACCAATTTGACTATTACCCATGAAATTCAGAATTTTAAGAAAAATTATTATATGAAGAGAGATCTTCAAATATTTAAGCATAATTAAGATATTATTATCCACTAAACAATTTCGTTAATTTTTGACGAGCATTTTCAAAACAAAGTTTTTTTTGTTAATTTTTACTTTTAACCCAATATTTTGACTTTTTTTGTGGATTTTTAGATAACTTTGTCGAAAGTTCAATTTTTTAAGAATTTGAAATTTTCATTAGTTTCCCGAGCATTTTTGATAACTATTTAAAAATTGCTTTTGTTGAAATCGAAGTTGGGGATATTTTCAAAATTTGGCTGAAACTGAATATTTCGAAAAAATCTTAGTCCGAGACCATCAACAGGTTATATTTTTCGAGACAACTTGTCTATATTCCAGAATTTTGTATGAATTTTTGACAAACTTTGCAAAAGCCCAATTATTAATATATGAAATTTTTGAAAATTTTCTGCGACCTTCGAAAATTATTTAAAATTATTTTTTGGCTTCATTTCTTTGAAAATTTCTAGCATTTTCGCAAAATCGTCAAAATAACGTATGGTGATAATTGAGATATTTTCAAAAATTGAATTTTTAACCAACTTTTTCAAAAACTCAATTTTTCAATAGATGAAACAATTAATAATGAAATATTTTACTACCGCTTAGATATTATTATCTACTAATCAATTTCGCTGATTTTTGATGAGCATTTTCGAAAAAAGTTTTTTTGTTAATTTCTAATTTTAAGAGTGTTTTTGAGTCTCACTTCTAACTAAACTCCTAACAATTTCTAGAATATTTTAAAAATTCGACTTTGAAACACCATATTTCGATTTTTTTGTGGATTTTTAGATAACTTCATAGAAAATTCAATATTTGAAGAACTTGAAATTTTCTACAGTTTCCCGAGCATTTTCGAAAATTATTTAAAGAATTTCTTTTGTTGAAATCGAACTCCGGGAGTGTTTGTCTTTTTCTTTTTTTCTGAAAATTCCTACCATTTTCCCAGAATCGCCAAAATACCATCATGGATATTTTCAAAATTTGACGGAAACTCAATATTTCGAAAAAATCTTGGTCCGAGATTATCAACAGGTTATGTTTTTCGAGTCAACTTGTCCGTATCCCAGAATTTTGAATGAATTTTTAACTAAATTTCCCAAAAGCTCAATTTTTAGTAGATGGAATTTTTCTGGGAGCTTCGAAAATTATTTAAAATTATTTTCCAGCGTCATTTCTTTGAAAATTCCTACCATTTTTCCAGAATCGCCAAAATGAGAAAACCAATTTTTGGGATATTTTAAAAATTCGAATTTGAAACCCTATTTTTCGAAAAACAGGCTATATTTTTCGATTCAGATTGTGGAGATATAAATGTCAGATTTTTTGTGGAATTTTAAGTAACTTTGCCGAAAACTCAATTTTTCAAAAACTTGAAATTTTGGACAACTTTACGAGTACTTTCGGAAATAATTTAAACAGTTTTTTTGGTTGATATCGACCTCGGGCAATGTTTTTCGGGCTCAGTACTCCGAAAATTTCTACAATTTTCCCAGAATCGTCAAATTAACATATGGTGATAATTGAGATATTGTCAAAAATTAACTAAAGTGAATATTTACAAATTCTTGGTCGGAGACAATCAACACGCCGAGTTTTTCGATTCAGATTCTCTGTATCCCAGAATTTTTTTTGAATTTGTCTATATCACAGAATTTTTTATGAATTTTTAACCAAGTTTTTCAAAAAGTCAATTTTTCAATATATGATAAAATTATTACATAATGAGATATCCTCAAGTATTTTAGTACATATCATTAAGATATTATTATTCACTAAACAATTTCGTTAATTTTTGACGAGAATTTTCGGGAAAAAGTTATTTTTGTTGATTTCTACTTTTTAGGCGTTTTCCAGCTTCACTTCTGACTAAATTCCTAACATTTTCTAGAATATTATAAAAATTTGACGCTGAAACCCAATATTTCGATTTCTTTTTTGAATTTTTAGATAACTTCGTCGAAAATTCAATTTTTTAAGAACTTGAAATTTTCAATATTTTCCAGAGCATTTTAGAAATTTATTTAAATAATTTCTTTTGTTGAAATCGAACTTCGGAAGTGGTTGTCTTTGTCGTTTTGCTTGAAAATTCCTACCATTTTCCCAGAATCGCCAAACTAGTATACGGAATATTTTCAAAATTTGACTGAAATTTAATATTTCGAAAAAATCTTGGTCGGAGACCGTCAACAGACATGAATTTTTAACTAACTTTTCCAAAAGCTCAATTTTTAATGTATGCAATTTATAAGATTTTCCTGAGACCATCGAAAATTATTTAAAATTATTTTTCGGCTTCATTTTCTTGAAAATTTCTAACATTTTTCTAGAACCGTCAAAATGAAAAAGCAAATTTTCGGGATATTTTAAAAATTCGAATTTGAAACTCAATTTTTCCAAAAAACCTGGTCTGAAAGCATCAACAGCCTATATTTTTCGATTCAACTTGTGGAGATATATATCTCAAATTTTTTTTATGAATTTTTAAGTAACTTTGCCAAAAAAGCTCAATTTTTCTAAAACTTGAAATTTTGGACAACTGTACGAGTACTTTCGAAAATAATTTAATAGTTATTTTTTTTTATTGATATCGACCTTGGGCAGTGTTTTTCGGGCTCACTACTCCAAAAATTTCTACAATTTTCCCAGAATTGTCAAAATAACAGATGGTGATAATTGAGATATTGTCAAAAATTGACTAAAAGTGAATATTTATAAAATCTTGGTCGAAGACCATCAACATGCCGAGTTTTTCGATTCAGATTGTCTATTATATCCCAGAATTTTTTATGAATTTGTCTATATGGAAGAATTTTTTTATGAATTTTTAACCAACTTTTTCAAAAATCTCAATTTTTCAATATATAAAAAATTATTACATCATGAGATATCCTTAAATATTTTAGTATCATTAAGATATTATTATCCACTAAACAATTTGGTTCATTTTTGACGAGAATTTTCGGAAAAAAGTTACTTTCGTTGTATTCTACTTTTTAGGCGTTTTCCAGCTTCACTTGCGACTAAATTTTTAACATTTTCTAGAATAATTAAAAACTTCGACGCTGGAACCCAATATTTCGATTTCTTTTGTGAATTTTTAGATAAATTTGGAAGTGGTTGTCTTTGTCGTTTTGTCTGAAAATTCGTACCATTTTCCCAGAATCGCCAAATTAGCGTAAGGAATATTTTCAAAATTTGACTGAAATTGAATATTTTGAAAAAATCTTGGTCCGAGACCATCAAGAAACACAAATTTTTAACTAACTTTTCCAAAAGCTCAATTTTTAATGTATGAAATTTATAAGATTTTTCGGAGGGCTTCGAAAATTAATTAAAATTATTTTTCGGGTTCATTTTTTGGAAATTTGATAGCATTTTTCTAGAATCGCTAAAAATAAAAAGCCAATTTTTGGGATATTTTAAAAATTCAAATTTGAAACTCAATTTTTCCAAAAAACTTTGTCTGAAAGCATCAACAGGCTATATTTTTCGATTCAGCTTGTGGAGATATATATCTCAAATTTTTTTTATGAATTTTTAGGTACCTTTGCCGAAAGCTCAGTTTTTCAAAAACTTGAAATTTTAGAAAACTTTACGTACGAGTACTTTCGAATATAATTTAAAGATATTTTTTGGTTGATGCCATTTCTTCGAAAATTTCTACCATTTCTCCAGAATTGTCAAAATAACATATAGTGATAATTGCGATATTTTCAAAAATTGACTGAAAATTACTATTTATAAAATTTTGGTCAGCGACCATCAAAGTCCGAGTTTTTCGATTCAATCTGTCTATATCTCAGAATTTGTTATGAATTTGTCCATATCGATTTTTTTATGAATTTTTAACCAACTTTTTCAAAAACTCAATTTTTCAATGTAAGAAACAGTTAATAAGTTAATAATCAAATATTTTAGTATCACTAATACATATATTATTATTATCTAATAAACAATTTTTTTCTTTTGTTAATTTCTACTTTTAAGAGCGTTTTTCGGCCTCACTTCTTACTAAATTGCTAACATTTTCTAGAATATTTAAAAGATTCAGATGTGCAACA